AACGGTGTACGTTCCACTGCGGCTATAGGGCTTCGATGCTCACGACAATGCGCCAAATGAGCTAGGCTTGAATGCTTCTGGTCAACAACAACAAAAAACCCGCTTCTGCTCTTAAAGGGACGGAAAGAAAACTCGCCTACATAAAAAGATCACTGCAAAATTTTTACCAGTACTCGGTACTCCGCACAGAAGCTACACAACTAATCTATATAACTGGGTGATCTATGCAGACTACTCACACACACAAAGGGGGGTGTTGAAAACAGCTTACTCTGTAATTCGTTGGGTTAAGTGATATTCCGTACGTTTTCACATAGTTAGAGATAACATGAACGGGCACTCCCAGTCAGGGAGAAGCATAGGGCACTGGCAAAGTTCTTTCCTACCTGCCCAAAAATCTGGCGTTCGAGTTGAGTTGAGTCAAGAACTGACATCGCAGAACTCGAGGCATTCCCATAAGTGCTCTGTCCCCATCTTCAGCAGCCAGCGCAGAGTTCCAATACTAATGGTACCGGTTGTATTTTGGTCATATGTCCGTCTTGTCTTTTCCCTGAGTGTAGTGAGCCGGCCAGACCCTCTAATCACACACAGGTGCTACATTCTCTCCAGGCCATAATCTTGTTTTTCTTCTGACCTCGTTTCTTGTTCCCATAGGGCAATGACCATATCTGCCTTGTCATGTATCAATTCACCACCCGAAACGTGCAGATTCAGCCAGTCTGTCCGCCTGTTCATTCCCCATCCTGCCGGCATTGCCTGGAGAAAAGATCCAAAGTATACTCACTACCGGAGACCTTACAAGTCAAGCTTGCCACTCTGCTCGAAGCAACTATATCATAACCTTTCTCAGCATGCTTTCGGAGTCTGTTACTCTGACATTTGAATCCGCATAGTAACGGATTCTTGATAGTTAATTCTGCCTCCCAGGCAGGCAGTCTTTAATCATCAGAGCCTCATCTGGGAAGTCAAGGCGTCCGGAGAGACGATGACCACATCAAGTATCATCGATCAAACTGCGAGTCTAGCAACATATCCCCGATCTTGACTTAAAAAAGGGTCATTTACTTACGGTTTAGTTTTGACATGCTTGAAGATAGAATTCATAAGCACTCCAGGTTCGTTTCCACATGCTTTTTTGACTGAATTAACACATGCTCCAATTCTTATTGAGGTAGACTTCATAAAAAGACCTTTGCTGTCAGGTAAGTTAATTGCGTATCCTTTACAGGACGTTGCAGGACCAACCGAAGCATTATTTTACTGTTGTGGATTTATTAGGCAAATTTTACGTTTAGTAGTTCACTGCTTACTGAACGGACAGCTCTCGGTCGAAACCAAGGCAATGCAAACCTTCTGCAGCTGGGATAGAACCCGGCATCCCGAAATTACGAAGCGCGTTCGCAAAGCCTAAGCAACAGACGCTATCAGGTAGACACGCCTAAAATGGGCATTAGGCAGTGCCCATGGAAGTAAATTCGGCCGATGTGTTATTGCCATCAACCGCCGTGTGCTGACTGATCCGTGACCAATATATAGATACACACACACACACACACACACACACACACACACACACACCCATTACACGGAAACTACAAGCTAATGAATAAAGAAGACCCATGGCAAACACTGCCATCACCGGTGGCAAATTCTGCCATGACTAGTACAAATTCTGCCATAACCGGTTGCAAATTCTGACCCGTGGCAGATACTATCAACCTGGCATATTCTGCCATGACCTTCGTCAGATACTGCTATCAACCTGGCATATTCTGCCACGACATGTGTCACATACTACTATCAACCTGGCATATTCTGCCACGACATGTGTCAGATACTACTATCAACCTGGCACATTCTACCACACCATCTGTCAGATACTGCTATCAACCTGGTATATTCTGCCACGACATATGTCGACATGTGTCAGATACTGCTATCAACCTGGCATATTCTGCCACGACATGTGTCAGATACTGCTATCAACCTGGCATATTCTGCCACAACATGTGTCAGATACTGCTATCAACCTGGCATATTCTGCCATGATTCGTGGCAGATACTGCTATCAACCTGGCATATTCTGCCATGATTCGTGGCAGATACTGCTATCAACCTGGCATATTCTGCCATGACCCGTGTCAGATACTGTTATTAACCTGGCATATTCTGCCATAACTCATGGCAGATACTGCTATCAACCTGGCATATTCTACCGTGACCCGTGCCAGATACTGCTTTTAACCGGGCATATTCTGTCATGACCTGTGTCAGATACTGCTATCAACCTGGCATATTCTGCCATGACCCGTGTCAGATACTGCCATCAACCTGGCATATTCTGTATGACCCGTGTCATATACTGCCATCAACCTGGCATATTCTGCCATGACCTGTGTCAGATACTGCTATCAACCTGGCATATTCTGCCATGACCTGTGTCAGATACTGCTTTTAACCTGGCATATTCTGCCATGACCCGACAGACACTGCTATCACCAGTGGCAGATACAAGAGTGTGACCTTTAAATGCCCTAGCTCAGCGTTCTTCGACATTTTCACACCTGCAAACTGGGCAAGTAGGAGAGACATTTTGCCGACCGGCTGACGGCAAAGACAGACGCAAACAAAAATGCGGATGCGAGTCGCCTGATTAGAAGACAAAAAAATTATTGGAAGAAAGAAGTGTTTCAGTTGAATCTATTCATTATGCGTGCTTCATTATTATATGTTGATATCACTCTGTAGTAAAGCACCTAACAAGATACAGTGACATATGATTGGCAAACAACTGTCCAAGGTACTGTCTGTATCCGTTTTATTTGAAAAAATGTAGATAATTTAATCCAATTATACAAAAACGTGTTTTCCCCCCCAGCTAACAGCGATATCTGCTGCTCTTTAGATGTTCAAATCATCTGAGATATTGTCCAGACAAGAGCCCTACAAAGAAAGCCAAAGAAGAATAGTAAACAAGACACAGAACTGGTGTCGCTAGCTACTAGACGCTGTGGGGTTTGCTGAGAAGGAGATCTGAGCACAAAAGAAGAAAAGGTTCGACGTACAATGACAAAGATCTGTCGACTAACTAAATCTGACATACACGGCCGGCGCGTTGTTTCTGGCAAACGATGCGCTGCAATGGTATAACATCATATTTCTCCGTTTGGTTTCCGCTGCAATCTCTACTACAAGACTGATTTACAAATCACAGGCTCGAGAATATGGATCTAGATAACGTCATTTGGTGAATTAGGCCCAGTTTTCTGTGTCGGTTTTTATGCCACGCCACTTAACCCCATCCCTTTGTTTCCAACTTTACAAGACAAAGAAAATAATAAACATAAGAGAAACGAAATTAATAAATGAAGCCGCGATACTGTTAGTGTACATCTGCGACCGGGTCGCCAACACTGGCTCGCCGGTATACGACTTTGCCGCAAGTTAGGACAGTTTTTGGGTGTGTGCATCCTTTTATAACATCAACACTGAATGAGTCTTTTTCAGGGCTCTTGGTGGCGTGCATGCGAAGCCATTTTATATGGCGCACATAATCTAGTCCCAATTATAACCAAAAGCTCCCCTTTTGGAAATGCTGGCTGAACGTGACCGCCCCCCCCCCCCAGAAAAGCACCAAGCTAAGCATCTGCCGGGGAATGGAAGCGCACTAACCTGTCTGCCACTTCGGTTTAACGTTAATTACCTCTCGACAATGAAAGCTGACTTGTCTCTGATTACCTGTAAGGCTCCAATCTTTTCCACAATGTCTTGCACTGACTGATTGGCTGATTGATTGATTGGCTGATTGATTCGCTGACTGATTGACAGTTCGGCACCTTGCCGTCCTTCCAGACGACAGTGTTATATTGCGCTATGAGGAGGCATGGGACTCGCAGACCATGGCGATGACGAGTGTGACTAGCAAGACCAGCTCGCGTTAAGAAAAGTCTTCCACAATTATAGCATGGGGCTTCGGGACCGTTGTCGTCACCATCTGTGTTTAGTCTAGTTTCTTCTCAGACGCTCGGCTCCCAACCTTTCTACAATCACTTCTTCCTTTATTCTCATTCCCCTCCTGGTGTCCCCCCCCCCCCCCCCACCCCCCCCCCCTTTTTTTTCCAAACAACAGACTCGTACAAATGTCCAAAAAAATTTATTTTAAAAAAGTCAAACCCCGTTAGTCAAGGATTATGAAAATGTGAAACGCATTCACTAAGCCACAGAGCTGATGGCTCAAGTTAACGCTGACAGGTGCTAAAACAGGACAGTGAAAAGCTTGCACTGAACCAGCGAAAAGGTTAGAAGGGAACTGTGTCAGCACTTGAGCACGGGTCAGCTCCGCTGCGTACAGGTGCGCTTGTTATGGGAGTCTCCGCTGAACCAATGGTGCCATGAGAAATACCACTCTTCACAGTAGGCTTGAGATGGGCAACGGGAAGGGGTGAAGGTAACAGTTAAAGGGGGAAGGTAAACAAGGCTGGTTAAACGTGCAGGTGGGGCGTTAAAAAACACATGAGGGAGGGAGGGTTATGTGGAGTAGGAGAGACAAAGCAAGAAACATTAAGACTCAGGAAGACACTTGGAGTCGGAGAGAGGGGCAGACAGACGCTGAGAGACCAGCGGAGAAACAAATAGACAGACGGGAAGACACGGCAGAATCAGAGATAGAGGGAAAAACACACATGGGAAGACAGTCGGACAGATAGAAGAAGACATATAGAGAAAGACAGGCAGGCAGGCAGACAAGAGGACGACAGACAGACGAAGCTAAAACAGCAGTCACATACAGAGTCACACAAACGTACACAAAGAGTGGGCAGAGAGAAACATAACACATACATACAGAGCAAGCGAGACAGAGACATACATATAGTGAGAGCCCAAAATAAAAGAGATACGAGACAGAGAGGCATACAGACAGAATGAAAAACAGACAGACAGAGAGACAGACAGACAGACAAAGTCAGCCGTGACAAACTAACAAACGTGTACACGCTTACCGGAACCTGGAAGACATGAACCGTGTCGTTCAAGAATGCAATCCGAATGTTGACGTACTTGCCCTTGCGAGGTGACTTGGGCGGTCGGGGGTCACTCATGACCGAATCCTTGAACGCCTGACTAGCCTATCCGCATGGTACATTCCACTTTCAACCAGACCTGGCAGAAGTACAAGAACAAGTTTATAAGCACATTTGGCAAGACAACAGCGCAGTTGTTCACTAAGTTGCTGCTGGAAGAACTATTCCCCGTGCGGGTTCCCGGGATCCCATTGTGGGGAAAAAACAATAACAGACTACTAAGCATGTCGTAGGAGAGACCAGCAGGGGACTTCCCTTGAAGTCGGAGTGCATCTTCCAGAGCGGCAAGAAACAACCAAAAAAAGAGAGTAAAATGGATGTAAATGCAAAACTCAAGCCCTGGCACAAAGCCAAAGTCCAAACGGATCAAAAAGCCAGGACTTTCCACCGAAGCCTACATATGGTGAACAAAGAAGAAGAAGAAGAAGAAGAAGAAGAAGAAGAAGAAGAAGAAGAAGAAGAAGAAGAAGAAGAAGAAGAAGAAGAAGAAGAAGAAGAAAAAGAAAAAGAAAAAGAAAAAGAAAAAGAGGAAGAGGAAGAAGAAGAAGAAGAAGAAGAAGAAGAAGAAGAAGAAGAAGAAGAAGAAGAAGAAGAAGAAGAAGAAGAAGAAGAAGAAGAAGAAGAAGAAGAAGAAGAAGAAGAAGAAAAAGAAAAAGAAAAAGAAAAAGAAAAAGAAGAAGAAGAAGAAGAAGAAGAAGAAGAAGAAGAAGAAGAAGAAGAAGAACTGTAGAAGCACAAATACTTAAATGGTAAGCAAATGAGTTTTGTGCTCAATATTACATCGGCCGCCTTCACTTCCCAGGATTGTACCCACTTAAGGCTTGGTCGACTGAGAGCTCAAGGTCATTTTTAAAGGGGGGAAAATGAACCCACGACCTTCCGATATGCAGGCGAGCGTCTAGCCGCTTCACCACGGTGGCTACACTTAAAACGAGAACTTATTAAATAGAAATAGTTAAGGGCACTGTTAAACTATCATGCAAACGTTCACTTGGAAACGGTGTGGGGGGGGGGGGGGGTGGTGTTACCCGCTAACGATTATTTCTCTACTTTCCGCTTTCGTAAATTTCTTCCTTGTAATCTCACTACTTTACCGCAGTTCCAGCAAATTGACCCCGTGTAGTATGGACGTCAATAACTAGCGGGCTCGAAGGCAGCAATCTAACTTTTATTACAGAACCTTCTAGATAAGCTGTTCTCAACCTATGGGTCGCGACCCTTTTGAGGGTCAAACGACCCTTTCATATGGGTCGCCTAAGACCACGAGGGAAACACATACATATTTACTGAAGTAATGAAGTAGCAATAAAAATATATTTGTGGTCGGGAAAGCGGGTCAACACGAAATGAGAAAAAGTATTTAATGGTGGCGGCATTAGGAAAGTTGAGGGCCACTGTTCTAGGTGTTCCATTTGTGTAGCCTGGTCACGTGGTCACGCATCAGCAACTGCAGCAATAGTTGTAGTGATAACCACGTTTTATGTGCACGGTGTAATAAAATCAAGCAGGTACTAAGTTTGCCTGACAAGAACACTTATAAAATGGCTAGATAAGACTTCAGTAGCAAACAATAAAAAATCATATCAGAGGCTAACTCATTCTGTACCGACCAGAGTAGCTGGCAGCTGCGCGGGAGAAGGAGGGGGGGGGGGAAGGACGACGATGACAACGAAGAAGAAAAAGAAGAAGATTATGATGATGATGATGATGATGATGATGATGATGATGAAAAAAGAAAGAGGAGGAGGAGGGAAAGGATGGGAAGAAGAAGGAGCAGGAGCAATAGCAGCAGATGAAGCAGAAGAAGAAGCAGAAGCAGAAGTAGGAGGGGGAAAACATTGTACTGATAAGTAAAACCCTAAACCACGAAGCTTCCCAGGACTCATACTGGGCAGCAGACAATTGCCCGGGAAAAACAGGATCCATCATCCGCTGTACAGCCAACACAAGGAACTAACCAAGTCATGGAATGCCAAAACAAGACCCTGCTAGATGTGAGTCATTGAGATCTGAGAGCCTAGCAAAACATATAGGATCAATTAATTGATAAGTTCCAGACCAGGCCCAAGGCTCCGCCCCTCTCTCTCTCTCTCTCTCTCTCTCTCTCTCTCTCTCTCTCTCTCTCTCTCTCTCTCTCTCTCTCCTGTCTAAAACCAGTGCCGGGAATCAATGCCTGGACCCGGGTGTACACTTAACTGAGTGCAGGATTCAGTAACCGGATTACCTGTAGGCTCGATATAAATACCGGGGCTGCACGGCAGAAACCAATGTTGAGATTAAAGAGGGGTTGTAAGTAAATGGTTCAAAGAAGCTGCTGTTGGGAGGAGAAAAAAAAATTTTATGATTGATTTACACCAACAGACTTCTTTGTGATAAAATAGACGTGGGGGGGGGGGAAGAGAGAGAGAGAGAGAGAGAGAGAGAGAGAGAGAGAGAGAGAGAGAGAGAGAGAGAGAGAGAGAGAGAGATTTCCCTTTAGCTACATGAAACTTTGAGTATGATGTTAATCTTACCACGTTTCCGCCTCTTCTTACGTTTTCTGGATGTTAAAAAAACAGGCTAAGTACATGGTTAACATCTGAGAGAAAATACAGCTAACGCTTTTTTTTAAAGGCCGTTGTTACGTACATGGCTAACATATGGGAGAAAACACAGCCGATATTTTTTAAAGGATGTCACGTACACGGTTAAAATATGGGAGAAAACACAGCTGAGATAATTTTTTTAAGAGGCTGTTTCCTACACGGTTAACATAGGGGAGAAAACACAGCTGAGATATTTTTTAAAGAGGCTGTTTCCTACACGGTTAACGTATGGGAGAAAACACAGCTGAGATATTTTTTAAAGAGGCTGTTTCCTACACAGTTAACGTATGGGAGAAAACACAGCTGAGATATTTTTTTAAAGAGGCTGTTTCCTACACGGTTAACATATGGGAGAAAACACAGCTGAGATATTTTTTAAAGAGGCTGATTCCTACACAGTTAACGTATGGGAGAAAACACAGCTGAGATATTTTTTAAAGAGGCTGTTTCCTACACAGTTAACGTATGGGAGAAAACACAGCTGAGATATTGTTTAAAGAGGCTATTTCCTATACGGTTAACATAGGGAGAAAACACAGCTGAGATATTTTTTTAAAGAGGCTTGTTTCCTACACGGTTAACATTTGGGAGAAAGCACAACTGCGATTTTGTTCTGAAGGCTGTTACGTACACGGTTAACATATGGGAGAAAACACAGCCGAGACACAGCAGTCGGTGGAGTTGTTTTAAGAGGTCGTTCATCGGGTGTCATGGGGACTGTTGAGTCAGATTCCCGGGGTGTTCAGCGTACTCCATGAAAGGCTTATTGGTTTGTTATGACTGTAGTAGCTGTTTTATCCTCTTCCGAGCGTTAAGTGGACATTGTTTATACCAGTTTGTGTTTGTCCACAATAAAGAGACTAAATCGCACTAGAAGAACCATACTTGGCGGGGTGTATTATGTTACCATACTCGTAGACAATGACCAAGTGAACATCTTCCTCTATCAAACAAGTGCGTGTTCTCGACCATCATCACTATTCCCCATGATTTGCCTCTCTGTTACTATTTTCTATTCCAAAAATTAAAGTTGCGATTTAAAGGACGCTTCTTTGACGATACTGATGACATCCAAAGGGCCGTATCATCGACTTTAAGGGCCATAACAACAGAAGAACTAAATAGGTCGTTCAAGTGTTTGTTAGATCGCGCCACTTGCTGTGTCAATGCACAAGGGGCTTACTTTGAGTAAAATACAGGTTATATCTCCAACTGTTGATTATTTTAATATTGATGGAATTAGTCTCATTACTTAAATGTCGGATCTTGTGGGTCCCAGGTGCCTGCTACAGGCAAACTCACACCGAACACGCAGATTCACCTATGTGATGTACAGTGGCAATCCCCTGGTGGTTCGTTCTCTAAACGACCCCACCACCACATGGGATTCAAGATAAACATTGACTTTAGTCCCCCAAAAAAGCTATCGATTTTTACATTGTCTAATGTTTCCCCGTATGTCTACGTACTGCCTAATTCCTCTACATCAGTGAACGCCAGCCTTGCCCCATGCCCTTTTTTTTTCCAGAAAAAGGGGGGGGGGGGGGGCGTAAGCAAATTTCAAGGTGGCGTCAAGTAATTTTTGAAAACCTAAGTCTATTTGCTACTTCTTCTTCTCTTCCACCCTGTACCTGAGCGAAGTGTCGGGGGAGATTTGTTGATCAGCTCTGCCAAGAGCACTATTCAGATAGATTGATGTCCATTAGCACTTTTGTAATAATCAGGATTTTCAGCTTTAACAATCATGAAAACAAAAACAGTGCTGCCAGCTTGATGTGGCTAGTGATCCTTAATATCATCAAAACAAAACAGTGGCGTCGATGACATTGATATCTGAACATTCGAATACCAGTTGCTGGTAAACTGCTTTTTCGTTTTTGACATTTTGAATGAAGTACGTTGTTTTCACTAAGTTCTTGTTAAGTGAACTTTGGATTTTTTCTTTCGTCTTCCTCTTTTCTTATGTTGGGGGTAGTGGGTCGTGGTGGATCTAGCCATATACTCAACAAGGACGACACCTGAGAAGGGTTGCAGACCACTGCTCTGCATCGACAAAAGCCACCAGGTACTTGTGTGTTTGTCATGCGACTCCAATGAACCACTGGGGTCTGGAGAGAATGATGCAGCAGGTAATAAATAGCCAGCGGATCTGGAAGACAGACGATACTAAAAAAAGGCAAGACTGAAATACAGTAAAGTCCTGTTTAGGAGAAGTCGCTTAAGGCGAACACTCAGTAAACAAGAACTCGTTTAAGACGAACCTTCGGTTAATAAGAACTCGTTTAATACGAAGTCAGTTAATAAGAACTCGATTAATACAAGCGCTCAGTTAACAAAGAACCAAATTGCGGTCCCAGTAGGGATAAACTATTCAATATGCACCTATTTAGTCTACGGTTAGCATGAGTGTTACCGTACAACCAGACTGTTAGC